CAGGTTGGATGTAGAAGGCTGAAGACTGCGTCAGTGTGAAATGTATAGCTGTGACTTTATTTTGTGGGGAGTCACATCCGCCACGTTGCAGTGTTGTTAAGCGGACATTTGTGGCTTTTTATAGGGAGAACGCTTGCCAGGCGAAAACCCACCACGTCCTGGAACACTGTCGTAGCTTCCGTTGAACTGTAGTGCAAGTCTGCTTTGCATCGTATAGACCGATTTTGCACTCTATTATTCGCAGTCGGTTGACAGCCAAAATTCTTCCTTGGTTTGCCAAATGGCTTAGTACTGAACCGGCAATTGTCGTTGAAGCCAGTCAATGATGTAAAAGAGTCACAGTCGAATGATAATGATGCGGGTGAGTAAACACATTGTTAATAGAGGCCGGATTTTTCTATTATATTGTCCGGCACGCAACCCGTGTCCAGCTATCCATGCTGGACTTGTCATAGGGACGGTGAGTGCAGTTGTTTCTTGTGTCTGAATATGTCCATAACATGAAAGATGCTATTCTCCGCAAAGTGGACTAGTAATTCCTTCAAATGTAAGTGTAATTGTCTTCATGGCCAAGTGAGAACTCCATGAAAGATCATCGGAAAAGCCGCTTATAAGCGCGCAATGCTGTCCGTGAAATGACATCAGAAAAGCTCCAGGTGACTGGAGAATCGGAATGTTTGAGGCATTGAAGGTAATCACGCCAGAATTGTCTGCCTTCGGTTGTGGAACAGTGGATCCATGTAACTACATTATTCCAGGTGAGTAATTGTTCTATTGTGAGTACGAGGCGAGCTAAACCCATTTGTTTAGACCCCGTGGTGGTAGCTTCTCCAGAATGGCGGAAAGAGCTCCATTTGGAACGATGTGTGGGTTCTTCATCTCCCGGAGAAAAGATCAAGCATGTAAACCAGCTGGCTATTGAGGGTGGGTCGACCAGTCCCAGTGGATAAACCTTCATGTTTTGGCGGATGTATCTGTGGAAATCTCGGGAGAAAACGGGCAACGGACAAGAGGCAGCCAAACAGAAGGACAGCAATGAAGCAAGAAGCACGAACACAGACTGGTGGCGCGCAACGACGCCTATGATACATTAAAATTTATGTAATTTTGTTTAGTATACATGATTTGCAAGCGCGTTATTTACATCACGTCGCTGGAGTGCCTCAGACTACAACTACTAGGCAGGACAAAGGATCTGCACGCGCAGGGTCAAGGGACGGATACAACAAATCGTGTTGACAAAGTTAAGCGATTAATATGATTGTTGGAGAGTAACAGGTAAACCGATGATGATGATAGCAGACCGTATACGAGCGGCATCTTAGATGAAACTAAGGACAACTAGATTGAGACGGAATGCGGGAGCAACATAGGTAAAGCAACGTTCCAAGAAGAAAAGGAAATTTAAAGAATCAGCTATGAGCGGAAGAATGCGGACGGCAGTGCGAAGAGTAATTCGTGAGAGCAATTAGAAGACGATAGTCAGGATGAGAAAGGTTTATTACTAAAGTTTGGTGAAGCCAAGGACGCTCTCGTGCGAAGTATGAATCGATCAGTTCCGAAAAATCACCGATGATATCCCGGTAGTCTGAGAGAACTCTGGAAGCCGGAGACCGAACAGACGAGACTTGAATAGTCGACACATCCTTAGGCCTCGTACTAGTCCCAGAGAATTTCACAGATCAGAGGATGACAAAGAAGAACATGGCACTAAGCCTCGGTCGTCTGATTGAAGGTTTGAGGGTACAGATTACTGATGGAAGTGCCTATATTAATAAAGGGTAATCAAGTCTAGCTGGCTGTCAATGTAAGCAAGACATAGTTTTGAGTCTACAGAGATTAGATCGGTATATCTTGCTAGTCTGAGAAAGGTCAAAGGAGCAGACCGGTCAGATGAGACTAAATGATTACAGGGCACTGAGAGTAGGCAGACCGATTAGAGAAAAAATGAAAGTAGAGAACGCCATAAGGAGAGGAGACGGTCCGGATAGAGAGAGGTTTGCTTTTAAGGTGTGGAAAGCTCCATAAGGCTCGAGAGGTAATAGAGGCAGAACATTCGGAATTTTCATCAAATGCCGGTAACATCACGGCAGTCTGAATGAATTCCGAGAGCAGGGGACAGATCAGACGAGACTGGATTAGTCGGCACATTAAGAGTAAGTCGAACAGTTAAGGTGGGAAGATAAATAAAGTGTCAGCAGAGACGGATAGGTTTGGGATGCAGGAGGCTACATGAATATAAGGTATGCAAGTCAGGCAGGCTAGCAAAGCGAGAGAAGTTGTGTGTTGGTGATACAGAGCCTTAAACTACATTTCACTAGTTAGGAATCAGTCAGAGAAGTTAATAGGGCAGGGCTCTGAGAGCTCGCTATGCAGGTGAAGAAGAAGTAAAGAGGCCGCGATGAGGACGGAGTCGAGAGTTTACGTTTACAGATAAGAAATGCGTGGTAATGTTGACAGAGCATTCAGTCTTCCGAGCATGGCAGGCGGCGTCGCAGAAGTAGGAGAGAAGAAGACCGATCTGCCGAGGTTGGACTTGGTCGGCGCATTGTGACTGAGTCCTATGGTTCATTTGGGAAGGTAAGTGGAGTCAGTATGATTGGACTGGTCAGAAATAGAAGTGCTTATATCAACATAGGGCGAACAAGTTCAGGCAGGCTCGCAATGTGGGAGAAACGTGTGTTGGTGAAGCAGAGCCTAGAACTGAATTTCGATAGTCGAAGAGGATAATAGAGCAGGGCACTGAGAGCGCGCTCTCTGGTTGAAGAACAAATAAAGACAGAGCGCGATATGGAGAGGACGGAGTCGAGAGTTTACGTTTTCGGATAAGAAATGCGACAGTTAACGTGGCTCTCGAGGTAATGGTGACAGGGCGTGCAGTCTTCCGAAGAATAGCCGGCAGGGTCACAGAAGTCGGAGAAATGGAGACCGATCAGCCGAGATTGGACTTGGTCAGCGTATTGCGATTGAGTCCTATGGTTCATTTGGAAAGCTAGGTGGAGTCAGTAGGATTGGACTGGTCAGATATGGTAGTGGTTATATGAACGTAGGGCGAACAGGTCCAGCAAGCTACCAAAGTGAGGGGGACACTGCTTTGGATCGACGGAGCTTGGACCGCTAACATCCCGGTAGCCTGGTAGGATTTCCAGAGAGTTTGACTGATCAGATGAGGTTCAGTTAGGGTATGGCACAAAGCGGTGGCCGTCCGATTGTAGAGGGATTGAATACAGACGGCGCTCAGTCATCTGAACGATGGCCGGTAACGTCACAGCAGTTGGAGAGCAGGATACCGATCAGTTGAGACGGGATTAGTCGGCGAGATGAGAATGATTTAGTGGGCAAATAGAGTGGGTCCGAGAGGTGGACAGGTTATGGTGGGGGTGCGTATATGAATAGAGGGTGAACAAGTCTAGCAGGCTGTCAACGTAAGTGCGACATAGTTTGAGTCTACAGAGTCTAGACCGATTAAACGTTGCTGGTCTAGAAATGGTAAAAGAAGCAGACCGGTCAGATGAGACTAGACTCACAGTCTGTGTGGAAAATGCAATCAACATACAAAGATAGAAGGGAAATACCGGTGTTCATGGGAACAGTGAGTCACAACATGTCCGCCACTGTGCACGATTTCTTGCCACATCCGAGAGTGCTTCCAGCCATGTGTGTTCCAGATGCTTCACACTCCAGCCAGAGAGCCGAGAGCGCCCAACCACGGCTAACTTTGACGTTAGCTCCTTCATGCTCCCTGGCCCACGTCTTACATTGGCCACCTTTGCTTTCGGTTCTAGTCGAGTACTGCGTGCGCGAGAAGGGTAGGGAGAGGAGTAGGCAAGGGAAGAACATGCCCAAGCCACTGAAGTCTGCGCATATAAATTATACTGCATAGTGGTCTGCAAAGTCCGTCTGATCTCAAAACCTTCCTCGAATATCTTCATTACTATTGTGATGTTGTCATTGTACACCAGCAATGCTCCGAAGGCAGCGGTGATTAAAAAAACAGACAGTCTCTTAACATCGTTTGCGCGAATAGCCCGTCTCGCAACTGCAGAGCAGAACCGCTCTCACTGTGGAATTGTAAACTCGGCCCTTCAGAGATGGACTCAGATGATCTGGACATCAGAGACTGGCAAAAGCAACCCGAACCTTGGAGACGCGCAAAGAAACGTCATCCGTTAAACCATTAGCGCTGAGGCAGCTTCCGAGGTAAACGAACTTGTCCACCACTTTTAATGAATGACCTAGAGAGATGAGGTTAGGAGCAGTGCATCAGAAGTGGAGAGTATCGGGGCTGGTCTCTACCAACATGTCACTCCACGACCGACCGGTTTCGTCCTGATTTAGACCTGTCAAGTAAAAATAGCATGCGCTGAAAGTGGAAGCCGACTCATATTGGTAGACAATTGGGAGGTGATTGCCAAGTGTCTAATGTGAGCAGACAAATCGACTGTAGAAGGACCTATAAGTGATTTCGGTATCAAGAAATAACAAACAAGTGCGACGTCAATGAGGTATGCGGACGTCACAACAATTGTGATGAGGATAGAGCAAACGAGAGCGCACTGAATACACTGAGTCTCACTAGAGCACCATCCACCATCGAAGCGTCCAGCATAATTGGAGTCAGGAGCAGTCAAACTATTAGAATAGTGAGAGCTGTGTCAGCATTGGTGAAAGCCTTATCGCCTGAGGAAGTATCGAGACGGCACAACATACAAGTCGTCACCATTCGTTGCATGCGTCTGGTAGCTATTCTGAAGCACTGATGATGCATCTCATAGAAAATGTTGAGAACCTGTCAGGTGCACTTGTTGGGATAGGTAGGTCACAATAGACTATGAGCGGTGGAAAGAAATAAGTGGGGGTCGTTCATTAACTATTAGTTTCTGGAATGGATTGGGGTATGCAACCTAAATCAAAGCTGCGATTTAGTAGAAGATCTTTTAACGAAAGCGTGCAGTGTACCCAATTCAGGTTAGAATGTTGAAAAAACGACTTAGACGATATCTGTCTGATGACTATATTTGTACATATGGCACGATAACGGAAGGGGGGAAGGAGAAAGAGGGGAAAATATATCACATGATGGGATGGGGTGGATCTAGTCGACCGGATGCGTCTGATTTTACAATGGTCGCGTGGGTGATATCCCGTGGGAGTGACGCATCACCAGGCGGTTTGGGCGGATCGAGGCAAGCACCCACCGCCCCCAACGGAGGCGCGCGGTTCAGACGCAAGTGAGCCGAAACTAGGTCGTCCGTGTCGAGAGCTGCCATCAGGCTGAGCTCACCGGCCAACACAGCACCAGCGATCAATCGTGCCAAATGCTCTGTCGGGCGGTCCACGTTCAGGCTCATCAGATCGAGACAAGCTCTTTGAGCAGGTAACCTTGTCCCTCCGCCGACAGTGCCAACCTCCAAGCAAGGCATGGTTACGCTCGCGACAAGCGAATCGTCTTGACCAACCTCGAACTGTGTGAGGCAAGCGGAGGCATCAACAACCTGGGAAGAGAGGGGAAAATGGTCAAGCACGTAAGCAAATTAATATTGAGGAAAACAAAGACTCAGTAATGATTTTTAACACGTACTAGCAGTATACATTAAAGGTGAAAATTAAGATAAGACGAGATGCACTAGACAACAATTTGAGACCGGTATTAATGTGGCCAGTGGGGTATTCCTTTGGCCAAACCTCACGGCCACGTGCGACCTAATCAACAAGGTGTGTAAGTTTGAGCACACAGCATCGAGTGATGTTAACAGGTTCGAATGAGGACAACCAAGCAGAATGCCGCAACGAAACACCTGGGTGAAACCGATACACGTCGTAGTGTAAGCACACAGCAGTAGCGTGTCACCAATTATTTCCCCAAACAATGACCGGAGGAAGTCGGCCAACAGGATGTAGGTTGTGAAAAGTAATGATTGGTCAAAACTGGAGTACAGTGTTGATAGGAGGATTGCCAATAATTTGGATGGAATAACCTGGTGTCTTAAAGTGTATCCACTAAAAAACTTCCTCGAAATGGTGGTTCCCTCTTGTCATGTTACCTGTGTCGCTGGGGAAAAATTTGCGAAAATCCGCTGGAAGCGGTCAATCTTGACAGCGATACACAATTGTGCACGTGATCAAACCGAAGCAGAGGGCACATTTCATGCCCACGTCCGCTTATCAGAAGAGGAACATGGGTGGTTGTTCACCAATTGAACGTCCGGTCAAAAACCAATTCACGCATGTGGTGCTCTCGCACCTTGACAACAAGTGACATGTGGGACTATGTTCACTTTCCAGCTATTTATGAGTAGGGGATTTTTGATGCAGTTAAGTTAGGATTCTTCGCAGTAGCTTCCGATTCGCACGGTCCTCCAAATGTTTCGAAAAGCGATTGACGACTATTTTCATCTTACCAGAACTCGACAGTGGTGCACATCACTGGGCTCCAACAGGATCCCAAATCATGACCATCAGCTGCACATGCCACTAAGTAGCAGTCTATGCCCCCAAGCAAAGATTGACGGCAGCAAACTGTCAGGACTCACATGCGAACAACAATATAGTGCGACTCGTGCAACACCGCAGAAGACACGGCGGGCCACTAGAGTCACGACTTCACACAACAGCAGCGACACATCAAAGTTAGCTTGCAAGTATGACGGTTCGTCGCACTACCCATGGCCTAGTGGCATAGGCTTCTATCTCATGGCGTAAACCGCTAGTGTTAAGAGACCACGGGTTCGATTCCTGATAGAGCTGCAAGATAGATGATTCGGGATTATAATCTGAGTCACGTGAACCCCGTGACATACGCAACGAAAGGCCCTGTTTACGACTAGAATTTTTACAACTGCAAGGTTGTGGCCATCCAGAGTTTTATGCTACATATATAGCTATATGTCGATGTAAGTGAAATAAAACCCATCAATAAGTGTCCGGATCAATTGTAGATGCATATAAATGAAACTAATCCCAAGTAGACTCAGATGACCATCCGAAAAATATAAATTATAAACTGTTAGCAGTGTGCACTTCGCTTGCTGCGTACGCGAATGGAACGCAGCAAGTAAAGTCACAGAACCACGGGGTAAGTCACTATAGGTGACATAGCGCGGCCTACTTACCATTCACTCGCGCAGTACTGTCTTGCAGAAGGCATGATACCTCCTGAGTAACGGTTTCAAAAATTTAAGCCGCCAATTAACCGTCAATATAAGCGGTTGGGGATTACGGGTTCTGGACCACAGCGCGGTAAACGACTCTCGGCCATTCGGTATTCTTTGGACATCAATGGTAGTCTAAATGAGGCTATGCGTGAAGAATTCCATCCATTTATACAACTTTAATTCCATACTACCCTTTTTTGAAAGCACGTTTACGCAAATATACGAAATACGCCAAGTGCACAAAGTAAGTGGGAAAAGTCGGTGTTCCACAAGTCGATCGATGCTAAGACTTGTGCAAAGATGTGGCACCTGATACATAAATGCGACATGAAGGGTCAACGATATGAGTTGGCCGGTGTCGCAGTGTCCTACGGTTTTAAATGAAATATGTGTCAGATATGTCGGAAGAAAGCTATTCAGCATCAACAGCAGCGCATGTTAGCTGGAAGCGAGAAACACCATAGCTATGACGGTTGCAGGAGAGACAAAATAAATAGGACACAATAACAAAAAACAAAGAACAGTATGCTGTTTTTTAATAAAGATCATTAGCAGGATCATCGAGGAAAAAGGAGGCCAACTAGGAAGAAGACGGATAAAGATAGTCATAACACAAACGCGACTGAGGTAGATTCTTCGCCATATCAACAAGTGCCTCTAACCAAACGCGTTCACCGACTTCCGGACTCCAAGCCAGGAGTTGAGAAACACCAACCGAGGCCTTCAATCCTGCTGATCAAGGCACCGGTTGGTCTCGACTCCTCTTCTTTCACCCAGGCCTCGGAGACGCACAACACGCTTCGCGATAGTCAGTTTACTGATAAGCGCGATACATGTGACTCAGTCGACAGCGTCTACTGTGTGAAATGAAGGTTCTGAGCGGTTCTCTTCCTCTTTCTACGTCAAAAACAAGACGCCGCACACGCTCATTCTCCACGTGACGTTCTTAGCAGAGATGAGTAGCGGTAATCGAACAGAACTAGCCTCCTTATATCCGCCGATCTGGTGCGCCAGTTTCACAACAAAAAACGAAATCAAAAGGATAGTAGCATTGTAGACTACTCACTCCCGTGGAGTAAATGGCGATGAAGTTACGCGGTATGGCTAACTGAATGAGAGCAATATGTGTCAACGACCAAGGAGTAGTGCTAGTAAAAAAGGATAAACAGTGAGTAAAAATAAATGGTCCTACCTGGGCAAGATCCTGACCTGTGGCCGCAAAAATACCCGCGACAATGTTAGCCGCGTGGGCATTCGAGCCCATCATGCCTGGGCAACCAGCCATTGCAGATCCTGTCCAATTCTTAGCATGTGCAAGCTTTGCCAGCCGCGTGGCGGTGGTGTGGAGTACTTGAGCAATCACTGCCGCAGGCAAATTCGCCTCAGCGATGACTGACTTTCCGCGTCCGAGAATGGTGTTGATGGAGGCAGGTTTTTTGTCCGTACACATATTGCCACTGAGCGAAATTACCTGCAGATTAAGAAAAGAAGATACAAAAAATCAAATGGTTCGAAAAATTATGGATCAGGTGGGCTGATGAAGTGGCTGCGAGAGGGGGGTTAATTGGGTTTCAAACGTTCCGTTAACAAATGTGGTGACATCATCGACGGGCAGTAATCACTAGTTCTGTACTCAGAGGAATCCAACAATCATAAGCACGTCACATGACGGCCACTATGTTGGAGGTGGACGAACACCTTTAAGATGTTTGAGCACAATCTACGCTACTGTGTGCTGTCTACAAAGCGGTAACGAGGAGAGTGGACAATGGTGTAGCGAGCGAGAGGTCGGATGACGATAGTAGACTGCTTGAACATACGAGTAACAAGGTGCTGGACACCACGGAATTGCGAACGAATCAGAACAAGAAGAGGAGCGATCTCGTCACATCCATGGCGATGGTTCTTGGAAAGGCGAAAGGTAACACATCTGGCGGATGTAAATAAATCTTCACACACTGAGTTGCTACGGGCGAATAGAAGCCGTAAGTACAGCGGCTGATGAGTGAGCAGATCGTCCGTGTCAAGTGACAAACGAAATTCACCTATGGAACACTGCCCGTTCCCGTGCGATACAACCAAGCATGGGCACATAATGTCGCCAGGGTACATGCCATGGCACTTTAGGAAGATGAAGGGTGTATTGGGTCTTTAAATGAGACTGACAAATGATCGCAGGATACCACGACGTTATCCACGCTCGCCGGAAAGAAACTGCCACTTCCGGTGTAGCGAGAACGTATCGTTCTCACATGTAAGGAAAGCCACAACGAGGTCAACTCAAAGACACCACCATGACATGGGTTTCCAAGCGGTTAATGCTGATAGTTTACTGGATGCTTGAGTACTGGGTGCACTCGTATCTCCCTGGAATGACGCTATACCGAAAGAGGAACGTGTTTCTCCGTCTAGTGTGCATACCGGATGCTCAATCATATTAGTCCACGAAATGACAGACATATTGTACAATGAACGTCAAGAACACACTGGTCGCATTGCAAGTACTCTTGACTATTGGGCCAGTGCGTAATTTTTCGTGTGCACATAACAATAGGTGTTGATATATTAGTTTGATGAACACACTGAAGACGACCTCCAAATAGTGGACACAGAACTGAAACGCGGTGAGGTGTGCTGAATTATGAAAGATGTATGGGTGGAACACGAACCGAATGATTAGCATTCGGTCACCTGAGAAAGTTCGTGACCTGGTGGAACGCATGAAGCGAAAGTTGGGGTGCAAAGGCGCAACCAGGCACTAGGTAGAGGAGAATGTGGCAGGGGAGTTAGATTTACCGGTGTAGAAAAGCTCCGCTAATGGGAGAGTGCGATAACAGCCTTTTTCTAACTGATTCCATCTCTGCAAGCTTCAATCCCAGCCAAAATCAGAAGCCAACGCCCTGATACCAGAGCGTATTGGGTGAGAAGCTACCGAAATAGGTACAAGTATTCTGAAAAGCAACAGATATTTAAAGCCCAACTCAAGGATGTTTACGCTTCAGAACAATTAGGTCAGTTGTCTTGATTGGCAGTTCAGTTACGCTAACCGATGGGAAGATATGTGGGCACACCACGTGATGGACGTGAATGATCCAAATCCGCTGTGTCAAGCACCCCCGTGGAGATTTGGCTTAGTGACTAAGACGAAAACCGTCAACAACTGTGTCGGGTTCCTCTCTCAACTTAAGCAATCGCTAACTGATGAGTCTAAATCAGGACGAAACCGGTCGGTCGTGGAATGCAGTACAGTGTTGAAGAGAGCAGCTCCGAAACTATCCACGATGCGAAAACGACTTGGTGCCTCGATAGGAAACCATTAGCTTAAATCGTTGCTCGACCGACATAATGAGCTTTCCCAAGAGATTCAACACTTCCGGGACAAAAAGGAAGCCAAAAAAGCTCGTAGTGGCATATTGAAGTGCAAGCAATGCCCCGCATTTCGTAACTAGATAATTCAGCAGTTAAAGGCACCACTATTACGGCCATTTAGCAGATTCACAAGCTGGAGGGATTGTGTCAGAGCTGCTCAGAAGACTGGAGAAACAGCAATCCATATATCCAGGGGAAAGAAGAGGGAAACGGAAAACAAATACATGTACGAAAACGACAGATAATACTAATGAAAATCAGAGTAGGGAATAGAGTACAAACAGTAACATGCGGTTGACTGCGCACTGCTCAATCATCGATAACAGTGGCACGTCTATTTTCAGAACTGATACTCCACTACCGCAAGACTAGAATGGTCAAAGTAATAAGAGGGAGAGAAGAGAAAACCGGAAGCAAATCTAAACGGCAAGAATTTAGGTGAAGAGAAGCAGTCAACAACGCAAAGTCACAATCAGCTGCCTGAACTGAGCGCATAAGGCAGTATCAGTGACAAAGCCTCTGTGTGATTTGCACCCCGCCAAATCCCACTCTGGCGCCACGCGTACAACCCAGCGATGTGTTAGATGAACAAAACAAACGAAGTAAGAGCTAAGGGTGTGGGGTAGAAAGGGTGAGTTAAGTTTAGTAAGTGAGAAGGTATAGTGAACCACCTGCATGGCCGGGAAATGTCGTCGAAGTTCGTGAAGGGCCACGTTCGTTGCCTTGCTCACCATGTTCATGCCCATAGCGTCGCCCGTACGAGCGGCGAAGCGAATATGGAGGTAGTGGCCACTCTGGGACAGAAAAAAAGACGACAGACAGTTTGCGATAAAGTGGAAATCAGTAGAAGACACAGGAGGGGCGAAGCAGAATTATACGGAAGAGAACCAGAGGCAGTGAAAAGGTATAACCTTGGGGCAAATATGTGATTTGAAAACACAAACTGAGTGACCGTTCCAACCACATTCACAGGCCTCCCGGTCTTATTCCTTCGGGTTTACACTGGATATGGGGTGTGTGGATGGAACTGGGGGTGGTGCAGCGCAAGCCACCCATGGTCCCTCGGTAGGCGCAGACATTCTGTGGCGGTTCCCGTGGAGGCCACTGTGACAAGCAAATATGTAACCGGATGCCATGAACTGACGCTGGCAACTGGAACTCGTAAGCAACGGTCACCGATCTGTGAACGACTATATTTTATAGTACATTAACTAAAGACTGAGTAAAATCCATTTTGAATCTGCAACGAATAAAGGCAAAACGCATGAAACAGAAAAGCTATAGAATTTTAAGCCGGCTGTCTCTATCATTGCCTTGACTGTTGGCAATTTCAGTTACAGACTGGAGAATACACAACTTTATGAATGAACAGTAGGCGGTCGTTGCCATATCGAGTAGATCAGTGTGGTCACAATGATGGTAAGCAAGTCAATACCATATTGGGATCCGATGGGGTTGGATATTCCGGGCCGAAAGCCTTGCCCTGATCCAACGGTACCATGGAGTATTCAATAGCATCGATGATGGGGGTGACAGAATTATGGAGGGTGGGATCGGTGGACCTAGGCGGTAAAGTATACCGTTTGAATCGCTACTCGAAGTGTTTGACAAGAGGTACACAGTGAAAAAACTGAGAATCAATCGTCTAGATTTTCATCTCCACAAGCCTGAAATCTGCTAAACAAAGAGAATATGAATAGGATCAGTCGGCGTTCAGATGGCCCAAGGAAGCACCCCTGTCTAAAGCCTAGAGAGCGACCATCGGCTAGTGTGTTTGACCACAGTCTACGTTGATAGCCGGCTTCCTTGTAGTATAATACAAGAGCAGTTTGGAGGGATACGGATGCTGCGGTCATGACGCACAGAGGTTAAGTAACAAAATACGATTTAGTTGACAATCGATAGTTCGATCGGTATCAAAAACGCACAACTTCTAATGCGATTCATCCATCACCAGTGGCGTTGATGTTGTATGGTAAAAAAAGGCAACGGCAGCAGCAACGCTGGCACGCAGTATCGACCCTTCACTGCCGCACAGCCACCAACAGTCGTGCGTGGGATAAGGATACTGCGAGGGAGGACGGTTCTCTGTGCAGGTTCCAACCCGCGTCCTCAGATCACAAAGCAAGCATGTGATCTTTAAGACCACGGGCTGGTTAGATGTAACAAAGATACAAGGGTCGCACATCGAGGTTGCAAGGTCACTGCATTATTATTCCAAGCACCCATGATGAGAGATGAGGTGAAAGCCCCATTGGTAGAGTGGTCCGGTAACAGCCTGACTGTAGAGTAGGTGTACACAGGAGAGAACGACAAATGGGAAGGAACCATGATGGGATCGATGTCTAGGAAAGAGATCCAAGTGATGGCAAGTAAAGCACAGATGTCAGAGAATAATTCTGACCTGCTGTGCAAGGAATGAACCGATGGTCCGTGCGCAGCCGCAAACACACACTTGACACTTTTATATGCAGCAAATAGATTGAGAATAGATCTCAGTTGACTCACCAAGAGCGCCTGAGACGAAAACTATAAACTGTGTGCTCCAAGAAGCAATGATGTAAAGAGCAGTTGACAAGAGAAATGAAGCCCTAACTGATTATCTTGTGGGTGCTGACATGTGCATTCACTCAGTACAGAGACGACGAGTAAAAGTGCATCCGTTCTGCATGATTACGCTTCAAGGAAGGTGCATAGAAGCATCAGCAGTACCCCAGTACATTGTAACAAGGCATCGATGCCACGCGACGACCGACAGTCGCACGAGTGCTATGTGTCGCTAGGTCACCCGCACGGGCGCGAATGCGAAGCGAGGACCTCCGAATTGCAGGGTAAGTGTGCAAAGATTTCGGCCACGGGCCACCAGGAAAATCGACCAAGGTTGCACACAGAGTGCAGGATGGGTAGAAAAAACGAGAGACGTTGGGGTATGCCGAAAGCACAGAGCTGTAAGCTCCAGTAGACAACAGCAGGAAACACTCATATATGTCTTTTGTTAGATGTCGATATCAAATCAATACGAGTAACGGTGAAGAGGAAAGCAACCAGAAGAGCAAACCAATCACCGCGAGGCCACTGCGGTGGGATGACATCCATGAAATATTAAATAGGATTTGAAGTAAAAGGTTCACAATTCTAGCAATTGCACCCATTGCACCACTGGAGCTAGATTCAAACAAAAGGAACAAATGGAGTGAGCTCACATCGCGAAAGTGCTCACTTAAAAAGCTTGCTGGCATAAAGTACTGATTAGTTTTGCGGGTACGACCGGCAAAGCGTGAATCATGCGGTTTCTCTTTGTTTCGGATGATTGTATCTGCAATTCAGTATGGGACACCGTAGTCAACTGCGGTAAATCGACCGGAATTCCAGCATGCATAACGATGCACTGGTGTATCAGACGGCTGCCGCAAAGGTGCGAGCAAAATGACGGTAACTAATATTTGAACATGATATTACAGTGCATGACTCACTGGATTAGGAAAGATGGAAATAAGATTGATGTGGGAGCTGGTTCGGTCGAAAACGGCTTTCAGCTGTTGGAACCCTTCATTGGATTCAAGCCAAACGATACATTCGACCAATTGTAAGACGGAAGGAAACCAAACGACCGGAGCCCTTGTCATTTGATCGCTGTGTGATAGATGGGGAAATGTGGTTACGATACAATTGGGTTCAGTTAGGCGGCTTTGATTCCGGAGGTAAACAAGGGTTGAGATCCGATTGCTTTAACCAATTTCCTGTTGGCAATATTTTACGGGCACTTAAAATAAGAGTAAAAACATTGAATTAACGTAATAATAAATACTTTGCATTGGACTTCCAGAAAAGACATTAATTCTTATTAACTTGAAACCATCTTGGTCAATTCAAGCTTGTTTTAATGAAACCAACACTCAAATCGTATAGTAGACGTCCTTAAAAAAGGACGCCGGCAGGAAATGCGTTAACTTGTAACGCCATGACAGCCGAAACAAAAATCGAAAGAGGAGTGTCACAGCAAGCTGCTGGGGGGGCGGTGACTATCTTCCATTATTGGACTCATTCGAATTGAACTGAATTAAGTAAATCAGTTATTACGTTTGGTTAAACGTCTGATGGAACGGAAGACACTAGGAATCAGGTCACAAACGTCACCAATCGCGAAGCGCGATAGAGGAGTTAAGAAAATCTGCAGCAGATTTGGTACAATACTCCTCCAGATTGTGTGGACTTGCGGAGATGAATTAGCTACGGGACCTTGGAGGAACAAATAGTTACCAAGATCACTGGCCACTGTGACTTCGTCTAAAATGAGACGAAGAAGTACACAAAGCGCGAAATAGTTGTGGAGAGCTTTGAAGCTGTTATCTCCCAATGGTGCACTCAACGACCGACAGTTTCGTCTTGGGTTGGACTCTCCAGGTAGAGAAAGCCTGAACTGTGAGTGGAATCTGACACAGAGCCGTTGACGGCTTACGCTTTGGTCACTAAGCCAGAGCTCTTTGAACAGAGCAGTTCATTGTTGAGTCTTGGAGTACCCGCGGTGTGTTTGGACTGCGACAAGGAATCGCAATTGGAACTGCAGTTTTTTTTGAAGCCGAACCTTACCATTTCGATTACTGGGACCGGAACAGCTGTTTTGCAAGACTAGGGCATACAAACACATTCATTTGGAGGCGTTGTAAAAAAGTATGAAGTAGTACAATACATCACGAAACACAATTGCTCTTTGTGAGCACAAGTGTCTATCCACAGGAAAGTCCGTCAGTTAGTGCTTGAAAACAAGCAATCTGAGGCCCTAATGGAGTATATATGAAGTATATGAGAAGAAACAAAGTTAATTGATTGAAATATAGTCAATCAACAATGTTAACAAGTACGATGATAAGAAAAAAAGAAAAAGCACGTCATCATTGCTAAAAATGTCTCACGCCGTAAAAGTATAAGATTTGTATACTGAATTATTGATAAAATGCGGGCTTATTTTCAACCAGGTTAGGAAAGAGTTTGTTATCTCATGACATATGTCACGGACAAATGGATGTAACTCGTGGATGCAGTAAGGACCTAAAGTAGAGTACTTGCACAAGGCTTCATACTTCATCTCTGCAGTTGCGTCAGTAGCTTGTGAAATGTACTCGAGTTCAATGTGCCTGATGAGATCAAAATCGAAACCGTAGAAAAGGTCGTGCTTGAAGCCAGCAACTTAAGGTCCATACGTTGTACGTCTAGTCGATAAAAGAAGAACCCGAGGTAGCTTTGCTGCTCGATCGTGTACAAGTTCACTGACAAAGCAAATGAGGAAAAAATCACTCGCTCTTAAAGTCTTATAGCCGCAAGACCCGGTTAAGAAAGGAAAATTCTTAAACACGATGAGACCCCACTCCAGAGGGAAGTGGTTCGAAATAGACGATTTCTGATAGGTTCGAAAGAACATACTCCTGTAAATATGCACCGCTACTAAGTCTAGATGCCGAAGTGGACCTTGACAATAGCCACTCCAATGTACCACCCAACGTGGTTGTTGTACCTATAAAATCGGCACAATTTAGTCCGTACAAAACAGCTTCCGAGGAATATGCAGTATATTTGACACTGACCCAGTTCAGCCTTTGGGTGACATCTCACCTAATAGTCCTCAGAATGATATAAAATTTGTCCCCACTACCAGTGGCAGTTAGGTTCCACGAAGTTTGCCCAGCCACTGGGTGGACAGCAGAGACAATGAGCCTGTGGATACTATACCTACAAACGCTAAAATCACTGTCGGGCATAAATTAGTGCAAAATAGACCACAAGTGCCACAATACAACACGCTGCTTGCTTCCCAGATAGGTAGCAGAACAAACGGCCAACCACGCGGTAAGCCCTACATGTCCAAGACTGCGGCAAAGCTTGTTGGATCAGAACCAAACTCTCAAGGAATTCATGAAAAAATGGCTACAGTCAGTTAGCAAAGAAAACAGTCTTCAACAACCATTCAAAAGACGCCAGAAGCAAACCGAAGGGCATCTCTACTTAACTAATTTAAAAAAAGTTTCGACCGCTTCTCCAAAGATAAGGGCTATCCCAATTCGTGAAGGAGTTCGTGATCTCCCAAGTCACTGTGCGCCCATCACCTCTTTTCTGCTGCCGTTCTCCATTGACACAGATGCTTATCTTTGCCATGATGGTAACTACATGAGCAAGATTGCACCCTCTCACTGAATCTCTCTCTCACAACCCGTAGCACAATTTGTGTATCCACTCAGTCATGTAGTCGACCATCGCAATATGTTTCTATCCTTAGAAAACCACTACAAACATGCGGCTGACATGCAATTGCCTTTTTTGGGAACCCGCCGCCTCACCCGGCGTTCTTCCTACCTATCCGCCTCCCAACGCATATCGACCAGTTATTAGGGTTGCAAAGTGCACCACATGGTTCTTCGAGCCGTGTAAACTGCCACAAACCTCCTCACTCATGTAGAAACCCAGTTTCTACTCCCGCCACGTATCCACAGACTATGCTTCACCACATGTGGACTGCACCACGGTCTTGGTAACCCCCCACCCCATACAGCGGCTCAAGGTTCCACAGGTCCTTTGATACAGACAATGATGAACACGGTCAAAATGAGTCTGAGACTGAATTTAAGAGCAAGTAGAAAGGTTACTATAAAACTTTAGAGAATTACTAAAAATCAAAAACTTTTAGTTGTGAATCATCGGCGGCCGTGTCTGGTCAGTTAATCGTTTACCCTTGTTCGATTAGGAATTAGTATTGGTGCCATTATTTCCGGGCATACGATGTGCATCGTTTCAAAAAAGCACAGGTTTCCGAAGTAATCGTCGATACGTGTTTTAAAACATTTCACATAATCAATCTCTATTAGTCCTTCTGGTAGTGTATTCCATAAATTTACGATTCTTGGTTCTATACAAAGCTGATGTGATACTTTGTTCATGCGGGGGACTCTGAGTTTGTAACGGTGTCCTCGGGTGTTACAGGGTTCCCGCAGGTGAAATATTGGCCAAAGTGTGAGGAAGTGATTCAAGTGTAGTATTCCATGGGTCATAATAAGGTCAATTCTTATTCGGCGGTGTGTGTAGAGTCCGAACCTCTCACAACGTTTTTCATACGGAAACTTTCGTAGACTAGGTATCAGTCTAGTTGCGATATGCTGTATCGTTTCCAGAGTTATCGGATGGTAAGCTGGGGTACCGTATTTAAGGATCAGTCTAATGAACGAGGTGAATAGACAAGGGACGATTTCTTCGGACCATGTGGAGAAACTGCATCCTAATGCCCACAGCATACGAAGTCCCACACGGTACAATTTCTATGTATTTTCTAGTGATGTCATATCATGTCGCGAGAGAACTAAGTCTCTGACAGATGTGTGAGGGTGGAGCAACTGGCGGTCCAAGGTGTATGATCGAGTGGTTGGACATTTGGTGATACTAATGAACTCCGACTTGCTTGCCTTAAGAGGGAGTTGCATCTCTGTGGACCATGTTGACAGTCGCTCTAAGTCATGCTGAAGGCGAGCGCAGTCATCCTGGTTCTCAATAATCCTCCAGATTTTAAAATCATCTGCAAACAGGGCATATGGTGACTGGAGTTCCTACCGAAGATTGTTGATATGAATAAGAAATAATACTGGCCCAAGTACAGTTCCTTGAGGCACGCCACTAGTCGATGGGAACAAGTCTGTCAGGTAGTCAGTGACCTGTACTCTAGATCTTCGTCCCACAATGAACTCGTGTAACTACTGAAGTGACGTGCCACCGATTCGGCATGTCTTCAGTTTACAAAGGAGTGCCTCGTGGTTCACTCTGTCAAACACCTTACTAAAGTCGATTTACACCAGATCAAGATCCTTCTGTTCATTGAGAGCTCGTACCCACTGATGGTTTGCGCACATCAAATTGCTGATGCAGGATCGCCCTTTCGTAAAGCCGTGTTGCGCTGGCGTCAATACGTCCATCGATTCGAAGAACGACAGCAGACACTTTGTCACAACCTTCCCGAGAACTCCGGCTAATATCGAAGTCAAACACATCGGTCTATAGTTCTCTATTTTCACTCGGATCACCACCCTTGGGAAGCAGTCTCACTATTGAGCATTTCCAGTCGTTCGGGACAGATCCTTCAGAAAGCGATTTATTGAATAGGTTTGTCACGGCTAGTGAGATGATAATCGATAGGGACTTGAGTGTTAGTGGGTGAAGTTCGTATGGTCCTGGGGACTTTGCACTATCGAGGTTGACGAGTAGCTGATACACTTCGTCTGCATCACATTGTAGGCTGTCGAACAAGACTGGCGCAACCTGTGCCGGTACTGGAACAGCCGCCAGTTAACTGGAAAATACGGTGAGGAAGTGCGTAACCAAGACGTCCGCGCGCTCCGCGCTTGAAATGAGCGCCTGTCCGTCTAAGCTCGCTGAGACCGGTAGGTTGCCCACAGGTTTCAGTTGACGTTTCAAATAGGCAAATATTCTTTTAGGTGCAGTTTTGGCCGAGGACATTAGCAAATCTTCGAACTGCTGGCGTTTCTTGATCTTTGCGCCGTTACATAACTTTCGCTGTTTTATGTACACCGTGTAATCTTTATTGCAACCCGAGCTGATCTGACCCAAATTTTGCGACGCCGTCGCGCTAACTGTCT